ATGCCTCCACTAGGAAATAGGGCCCACATGCCTCTAGTAGGAAATGGGGCCCGCATGCCTCCACTAGGAAATAGGGCCCACATGCCTCTAGTAGGAAATGAGGCCCGCATGCCTCCACTAGGAAATAGGGCCCACATGCCTCTAGTAGGAAATGGGGCCCGCATGCCTCCACTAGGAAATAGGGCCCACATGCCTCTAGTAGGAAATGGGGCCCGTATGCCTCCAGTAGGAAATGGGGCCCGTATGCCTCCAGTAGGAAATGGGGCCCGCATGCCTCCACTAGGAAATAGGGCCCGCATGCCTCCACTAGGAAATAGGGCCCACATGCCTCCAGTAGGAAATGGGGCCCGTATGCCTCCAGTAGGAAATGGGGCCCGCATGCCTCTAGTAGGAAATGGGGCCTCTCATGCCTCTAGTTGGAATTAAACTACACTTCAGTTTATTAAATTGTATATCTTATATCTATATAATTCTACAGTTTATTTACATATATTGATCTATGAACAGTATATTATATATATATAAAATGAACCTTGTAAATCAGCGATGTAAATCGCTGTAAATCCTTGTAAATCGTTCATTGATAATTTGTTTCAAAGCTGACATGATGATTGATGATCCTGTCTAACAGGTGGGGATTTAGGAAGACTTATCATTCCTCTGTTGTAAGGTTAATGGTGAAGAATGTGTTATTTAAGTGTTGTGTGTTCTGTCTCAGTGTTATGTGTTCTGTCTCAGTGTTGTGTGTTCTGTCACAGTGTAGTGTGTTCTGTCATAGTGTGGTGTGTTCTGTCTCAGTGTGGTGTGTTCTGTCTCAGTGTTGTGTGTTCTGTCTCAGTGTCATGTGTTCTGTCTCAGTGTTGTGTGTTCTGCCACAGTGTCATGTGTTCTGTCACAGTGTTGTGTGTTCTGTCATAGTGTTGTGTGTTCTGTCTCAGTGTTATGTGTTCTGTCTCAGTGTTGTGTGTTCTGTCTCAGTGTTATGTGTTCTGTCTCAGTGTTGTGTGTTCTGTCACAGTGTAGTGTGTTCTGTCTCAGTGTTGTGTGTTCTGTCACAGTGTCATGTGTTCTGTCTCAGTGTTGTGTGTTCTGTCTCAGTGTTATGTGTTCTGTCTCAGTGTTGTGTGTTCTGTCACAGTGTTGTGTGTTCTGTCACAGTGTGGTGTGTTCTGTCACAGTGTTGTGTGTTCTGTCACAGTGTTGTGTGTTCTGTCATAGTGTGGTGTGTTCTGTCTCAGTGTTATGTGTTCTGTCTCAGTGTTGTGTGTTCTGTCACAGTGTCATGTGTTCTGTCTCAGTGTTGTGTGTTCTGTCTCAGTGTCATGTGTTCTGTCTCAGTGTTGTGTGTTCTGTCTCAGTGTCATGTGTTCTGTCTCAGTGTTGTGTGTTCTGCCACAGTGTCATGTGTTCTGTCACAGTGTTGTGTGTTCTGTCTCAGTGTTGTGTGTTCTGTCTCAGTGTCATGTGTTCTGTCTCAGTGTTGTGTGTTCTCTCACAGTGTCATGTGCTCTGTCACAGTGTTGTGTGTTCTGCCACAGTGTCATGTGTTCTGTCACAGTGTTGTGTGTTCTGTCTCAGTGTCATGTGTTCTGTCTCAGTGTCATGTGTTCTGTCTCAGTGTCATGTGTTCTGTCTCAGTGTCATGTGTTCCGTCTCAGTGTTGTGTGTTCTGTCACAGTGTTGTGTGTTCTGTCTCAGTGTCATGTGTTCCGTCTCAGTGTTGTGTGTTCTGTCACAGTGTTGTGTGTTCTGTCTCAGTGTCATGTGTTCTGTCACAGTGTTGTGTGTTCTCTCACAGTGTTGTGTGTTCTGTCTCAGTGTCATGTGTTCTGTCACAGTGTTGTGTGTTCTCTCACAGTGTTGTGTGTTCTGTCTCAGTGTCATGTGTTCTGTCACAGTGTTGTGTGTTCTCTCACAGTGTTGTGTGTTCTGTCTCAGTGTCATGTGTTCTGTCACAGTGTTGTGTGTTCTCTCACAGTGTTGTGTGTTCTGTCTCAGTGTTGTGTGTTCTGTCTCAGTGTTGTGTGTTCTGTCACAGTGTTGTGTGTTCTGTCTCAGTGTTGTGTGTTCTGTCACAGTGTTGTGTGTTCTGTCACAGTGTTGTGTGTTCTGTCTCAGTGTCATGTGTTCTGTCACAGTGTTGTGTGTTCTCTCACAGTGTTGTGTGTTCTGTCTCAGTGTCATGTGTTCTGTCACAGTGTTGTGTGTTCTGTCACAGTGTGGTGTGTTCTGTCACAGTGTTGTGTGTTCTGTCACAGTGTTGTGTGTTCTGCTCACAGTGTTGTGTGTGTTCTGTCTCAGTGTTGTGTGTTCTGTCTCAGTGTGGTGTGTTCTGTCTCCACAGTGTGGTGTGTTCTGTCTCAGTGTGGTGTGTTCTGTCTCAGTGTGGTGTGTTCTGCCACAGTGTCTGTCTCAGTGTTGTGTGTTCTGTCTCAGTGTGGTGTGTTCTGTGTCTGCCACAGTGTTGTGTGTTCTGTCTCAGTGTGGTGTGTTCTGTGTGGTGTGTTCTGTCACAGTGTTGTGTGTTCTGTCACAGTGTTGTGTGTTCTGTCACAGTGTTGTGTGTTCTGCCACAGTGTTGTGTGTTCTGCCACAGTGTTGTGTGTTCTGTCACAGTGTTGTGTGTTCTGTCACAGTGTGGTGTGTTCTGCCACAGTGTTGTGTGTTCTGCCACAGTGTCGTGTGTTCTGTCACAGTGTTGTGTGTTCTGTCTCAGTGTGGTGTGTTCTGCCACAGTGTCTGTCAGTGTTGTGTGTTCTGTCTCAGTGTGTGTGTTCTGTCTCAGTGTGGTGTGTTCTGTCAGTGTGGTGTGTTCTGTCTCAGTGTTGTGTGTTCTGTCACAGTGTTGTGTGTTCTGTCACAGTGTGGTGTGTTCTGTCTCAGTGTGGTGTGTTCTGCCACAGTGTTGTGTGTTCTGTCTCAGTGTTGTGTGTTCTGTCTCAGTGTGGTGTGTTCTGCCACAGTGTGGTGTGTGTTCAGTGTTGTGTGTTCTGTCACAGTGTTGTGTGTTCTGTCACAGTGTTGTGTGTTCTGCCACAGTGTTGTGTGTTCTGCCACAGTGTTGTGTGTTCTGTCACAGTGTTGTGTGTTCTGTCACAGTGTGGTGTGTTCTGTCTCACAGTGTGGTGTGTGTCTCAGTGTGGTGTGTTCTGTCACAGTGTGGTGTGTTCTGTCTCAGTGTGGTGTGTTCTGCCACAGTGTGGTGTGTTCTGTCTCAGTGTGGTGTGTTCTGTCACAGTGTGGTGTGTTCTGTCTCAGTGTTGTGTGTTCTGTGTGGTGTGTTCTGTCTCAGTGTGGTGTGTTCTGCCACAGTGTGGTGTGTTCTGTCTCAGTGTGGTGTGTTCTGCCACAGTGTGGTGTGTTCTGTCTCAGTGTGGTGTGTTCTGTCACAGTGTGGTGTGTTCTGTCTCAGTGTGGTGTGTTCTGCCACAGTGTGGTGTGTTCTGTCTCAGTGTGGTGTGTTCTGCCACAGTGTGGTGTGTTCTGTCTCAGTGTGGTGTGTTCTGCCACAGTGTGGTGTGTTCTGTCTCAGTGTGGTGTGTTCTGTCACAGTGTGGTGTGTTCTGTCTCAGTGTGGTGTGTTCTGTCACAGTGTGGTGTGTTCTGTCACAGTGTGGTGTGTTCTGTCTGTCAGTGTGGTGTGTTCTGCCACAGTGTGGTGTGTTCTGTCTCAGTGTGGTGTGTTCTGCCACAGTGTGGTGTGTTCTGTCTCAGTGTGGTGTGTTCTGTCACAGTGTTGTGTGTTCTGTCACAGTGTTGTGTGTTCTGTCACAGTGTGGTGTGTTCTGTCACAGTGTTGTGTGTTCTGTCACAGTGTTGTGTGTTCTGTCACAGTGTGGTGTGTTCTGTCACAGTGTTGTGTGTTCTGTCACAGTGTGGTGTGTTCTGTCACAGTGTGGTGTGTTCTGTCACAGTGTTGTGTGTTCTGTCACAGTGTCGTGTGTTCTGTCACAGTGTGGTGTGTTCTGTCACAGTGTGGTGTGTTCTGTCACAGTGTGGTGTGTTCTGTCACAGTGTCATGTGTTCTGTCACAGTGTGGTGTGTTCTGTGTGGTGTGTTCTGTCTCAGTGTGGTGTGTTCTGTCACAGTGTGGTGTGTTCTGTCACAGTGTGGTGTGTTCTGTCACAGTGTGGTGTGTTCTGTCACAGTGTTGTGTGTTCTGTCACAGTGTGGTGTGTTCTGTCTCTGTCACAGTGTGGTGTGTTCTGTCTCAGTGTGGTGTGTTCTGTCACAGTGTGGTGTGTTCTGTCTCAGTGTGGTGTGTTCTGCCACAGTGTGGTGTGTTCTGTCTCAGTGTGGTGTGTTCTGCCACAGTGTGGTGTGTTCTGTCTCAGTGTTGTGTGTTCTGTCACAGTGTGGTGTGTTCTGTCTCAGTGTGGTGTGTTCTGCCACAGTGTGGTGTGTTCTGTCTCAGTGTGGTGTGTTCTGTCACAGTGTGGTGTGTTCTGTCTCAGTGTGGTGTGTTCTGTGTGGTGTGTTCTGTCTCAGTGTGGTGTGTTCTGCCACAGTGTGGTGTGTTCTGTCTCATGTGGTGTCTGTCAGTGTGGTGTGTTCTGTCACAGTGTGGTGTGTTCTGTCAGTGTGGTGTGTTCTGCCACAGTGTGGTGTGTTCTGTCTCAGTGTGGTGTGTTCACAGTGTGGTGTGTTCTGTCACAGTGTGGTGTGTTCTGTCTCAGTGTGGTGTGTTCACAGTGTGGTGTGTTCTGTCACAGTGTGGTGTGTTCTGCCACAGTGTGGTGTGTTCTGTCTCAGTGTGGTGTGTTCTGTCACAGTGTGGTGTGTTCTGTGTGGTGTGTTCTGTCACAGTGTGGTGTGTTCTGTCACAGTGTGGTGTGTTCTGTCACAGTGTGGTGTGTTCTGTCACAGTGTGGTGTGTTCTGTCACAGTGTGGTGTGTTCTGTCACAGTGTGGTGTGTTCTGTCACAGTGTGGTGTGTTCTGTCACAGTGTGGTGTGTGTTCTGTCACAGTGTGGTGTGTTCTGTCACAGTGTGGTGTGTTCTGTCACAGTGTGGTGTGTTCTGCCACAGTGTTGTGTGTTCTGCCACAGTGTGGTGTGTTCTGTCACAGTGTGGTGTGTTCTGCCACAGTGTGGTGTGTTCTGTCTCAGTGTGGTGTGTTCTGCCACAGTGTGGTGTGTGGTGTGTTCTGTCACAGTGTGGTGTGTTCTGTCACAGTGTGGTGTGTTCTGCCACAGTGTGGTGTGTTCTGTCTCAGTGTGGTGTGTTCTGTCACAGTGTGGTGTGTTCTGTCACAGTGTGGTGTGTTCTGTCACAGTGTGGTGTGTTCTGTCACAGTGTGGTGTGTTCTGTCACAGTGTGGTGTGTTCTGTCACAGTGTGGTGTGTTCTGTCACAGTGTGGTGTGTTCTGTCACAGTGTTGTGTGTTCTGTCACAGTGTTGTGTGTTCTGTCACAGTGTGGTGTGTT